AACCTGCTGGAATTAATAACAATGCCCCACAGCAATTCACCAGGTTATCTCTGCTCTACCTTCAACAGACAGCCCAAATCCAGTCACCACTAGCCTGCTTCACCTAGAATGGCCAGCTCCGAGTCACTACAATCTCTTGCCTGGACTTCACAGCAGCATGTAACAGGCCAGTGACTTCTGCTGGTGTCCCTCAATTTGTTCTTCTCAACAATCAGATTAAACGAAAATCAAATCTGATCATGTCCCACCTTGAAACCCTCTAGGTATAAAATCCAGACTTGTTACAACTCTCTGCCCTCATCATCCCATCCCACCCTCACCACCATCTTGGCTGTTCTTCAACATTGCTGAATTTGCTCCACAACCTTCACATCTGCTGCTCCCTCTGTTGAATTCTCTTAAGCACACCTAGCATGGCTTGCTCTCCACTTAACTCAGCTCTACTCAAATGCCCCCTCCTTTCTCAGCAGCCTTGCCTGGCACTCTCCTCCTTACTCATTATTTGGGTTTCAAGGAGTTTTCAGTCCAGGACTTACCCTACAATGCCAGTAGGTGTTTAATGTCTACTTGTTGAATAACTGATTGATCCCTCACAGTCACCTAGTGAGGCAGACAGCATCATCCCTATTTTCTGGGTGAGGATATGCAGGCACAGAACAATTCAATAGGCCAGAGACCACCTTCATTGTCTTTATGCCATCCCTGTTCAAGAACAAAAGCTTCAGCTTCATTCTTCTGTTTTAGTACGTCTGCTAACATCAATATTTGGGCATTAGACAAATGTGGAGATCCCGGTAACCCTGCTAGTCAGGACTGATTATTCTTGTGAATTAGGGGAGGAAATGGAGGTCCCCAGATCAAGGAAATGAGAGCAACATGGGTAAGTGACCTGGTGCCTCCATCCAAGCCTTGTTCTCACAACCCACTTGGCCAGGTCCACAGCCTTTTAGAGAACTGGATTTAACCTGCTTGCCCTTGAAACAAAAATCCATGGGGCAATCTAGGATAAGCACTGGACTACCCACAAATGTAACCATAAGGCCAGCAGTTCAAATCCACCTGCTGTTCCATGCAAAAAAGATGAGGCTTTCTGCTCTGGTAAAGATTTATATAGCTTTGGAAACCCTATACAGGGTCATTATGGGTCAGAATCAACTCAATGGCAGTGGGTTGCCCTTGAAACAGGGTCTGAAGGCAAGCAGAACTACACAAAGCCCAGTCTCCATCCAGCAGACAGACACTGCTTTGCTTTTTCCACGAGAGTTCAACTTCAATGTGGGCCAGACCCTAATTCTTGAAGGGTTGTCTCAATGTGACAAAACTTTTAATGGCTTGTTCCTTCCCGCTCAGTTTAACCATTTAGAGGAAAAGCACTGAACTTCGAACCACATGGTCGGCGGTTCGAGCCCACCAGCTGCTCTGCAGGAGGAAGATGAGGCTCTCTGCTCTGGCAAAGTTTACAGCCTTGGAAACCCTATACAGGGTCTCTATGATTCGGAATCAACTAGAGGGTACTTAACGACGACAACCTTCACTCCTTAAGTAAGGAATGAGCAGCCTGACCATCCAGTGTGGGCCGGGAATCATGGCAGCTCCTCTGCCCATTCCACAGGATTTCAGACCCTTGTGTTGTGTTGCCTTTCTTAAACTGTGAAGCCACTCAAATGTAAAATGAAGCAATCTGTTCACCTCAAGAAGGGCTGAGATCTTGAGCATCTGTCTCCATAATATAAGAGTGCAGGGGAGTGGGAAGGCGATCAGAGTGTTTCCACTCCTAAGCCCCTCTTTAGCAGCGGCAGAGAAGGTTTTTAATAGGGATTTAAATCCCAAGGGGGTTAGACCAGCGCGACTAGGGTGTCAGACCGGCGCCGGGGAGTACAGAAAGGGATGGAAAAATGAATGCGGCCACCGAAAAAGGAGCTTCCTTCCTCAGCTCTCCCACCAATCCCAGCCTCCAGCCATTGCTGGATCGTCCCTTCCGGACGTGGACACTCCCGGGTCCGCTTGGGGATCCAGAAGGGGTAACTAGGGGAGAGAGAAGCACCTAGACAGGCACTGCAGGAGAGGAACCTTCTCATCGCCAACAGCACAGGCACGAGCCCTCCTCCTGACTGAGGTCCCTGGCCAGCAAAGCTCCGCCACCGGCTGGCGTGCGTAGTCCCTTGCAGCACCTTCAACGCCCCCCGCCTCCCATTAGCGCGCACACCCCTTGGCCCTGCCCGCCAGTAGGCCCCGAGCGCCACCGACCGGCTGGGCGGACAAAGCCCCCGGCCTGGGCGCTGAGGACAGAGGAGCGCGCGGAGCTGGGCGGAGCGCGCGGACGGCGGGCTCCGGCTGGGGGTGTCGGATGTCACCCCCCGCGCACACCTCGGCCGGGGGGCGGAGGAACGAACCACTGAGATGCGAAGACCTCCCCGGTCCTAGAGCGGAGCAGGAAGTGTCCCAGGGGAGGGAGCCGGAGGGCTCTGGCCTTTCCTTTCCTCCGCGTCCTGAGTGCTCCGCCGACGACCAGGCCTGCGCGACTCTCTCGCACTGGGTCGCACCGCGGTGAGTGCGGTCGCGCGGGCCCGGGCGACTTCCCCTAGTTTCCGCGCCGGTGTTGGCCCGGCGCGCCCCCTTTCCGCGCGCCCGGGCCTTCGCCAGAGCCGCCCCCGACTCTTGAGCGCAGGATCCCGGGGTATGCGGGCGGGTACTGATCCAAGTACAATTTTGTTTTTCAGGCGCCTCCACTTCCTCCCACCCTTTTTCCTTCCAAATGGAGCTGTGGATTTCTGGATGAGCATGAGAGAGGGTTGTGGCTGGCCAGGGAAGGAGGAGTCGGGCCCCTGCAGAGAGTCCGCCTGGAGAAGGACACCTAGGAGATCGGGCTGGAAGGATGAGGAGCAGTCACCGCGTACTTCCGCCGCAGCAGGAGGGATTTGAGTTAGACGCTGGGAAGGAGTTCCAGGCTTTGAGGTGAGAAGACTGAAACTGTTTTCCCGTGGTTAGTGGCTGTATGTGAGTATGTTTGTTTGTGTAGAAGACGGTGTGGGAGAAAGAGTGAATGAGAGTGAGAGTGTAATGAAAAGCTTTCTTTCCTTGCCCTGAAATGCCCTCCCCTTTCCTTTCTGCTGTGCCGGTCTGCCCCTCCTCCAAGAGCTGGTTTAAACACGCCCAGTTCAGGACCCCTCCCCCATTAACCTTAGTTCTTGGAGCCTCCTGCACGCCAGGTGCAGGGTGACAAAGAGGAACAAGCAGCCTGGCTAAAGAGAAGGTCCACAGAGCACCGAATGAGCAGCCACAGAGCAAGAATTGGGGTGCTGTGGATTTGCACTGGGCGCCCCGAGGGTGGGGGCATACCTGAGTAGCCAAGGGAGAAGTTTGGGGAAGAGGGACTGCTTTTGGCAACTGGAGAGAAGTAAGTGGGCACCAGATTGAGCTCTAGACTCTGGAGGGGATCACTGAGGGGAGAGCAGATATTGGGTTCAGCCAGAGGCCCGCCCACCCACCCCTTTTACAGCCAGTTTGTACTTTTTCAGGTTGAAAAGCAAAAGGGTCCAGCGACTTGGTTTTTCTAACTACTACTCAGTTGTTTTGCCACTCTCTTAGCCTCACTTGTCTTCCTGTGAAAGGAAGTGAAGTCTGTCACATCCCCCACCAAAAGAGTGGGAAGGGGGTCTGTGAGAGACTAGACTTAAGTTGATGTGTGTACCAGAGCCTCATACAGGCCATGGAGGGTGAGCGGGCCTGGAGGAGAAGGACGGTATGTGTCCTATTTGTCCTTGACTTTCTTGTTTCTTTCCTTTATGCTCCCACTCTGGGAGTCCCCAGTCCCTGATGTGTGACTGCTCACAGTGCTCTATGGACCATCTCTTTAAACCAGATAGCTTGTTTTGGCAGCCTGTACCTATGATCTGGGTCAGTGACCATCTGTCACAGTAATAGCCTCTGTTATCATCTTACATATATTAACTGGGTCCAGGTGTACAACAGCCTCCTGTCTGTTGTAGGAGTTGTGGGGACTCCTGTCTTCCACTGTGTGCATATGGGTGTGGCTCATGGTAGCCTGAGAATGGGGCTTTGAGCTGTGAATGAGCACTTCCCTCCTGCAGTCAAAGGAAAGGCTGTGAGGGTTGGGTAGTTGCCTTGAATAAGAAAAGAGTAGAGAAGTAGAGGCAATGGTGAAGGTCAGAGAGCCTTTCAGTATATGTCCTTTACTATCAGACATTCAAATGAATTGGACTTTAGGCTGGTCTGAAAACAGGAATGCATTAAAATACAGTGGCATTTCTCTGGTAAGTGCAGTCTGTAACTCTCTTGTGATCTCTTGTCTAGGCACCTTCTTGTCTATCTGCTTCATCTTTGTTCCAGAGCAAGCTCCATTGGGTACAGCCAATTCTGTCTCTTAGCATAGAGCACAGATACCTAGCCGTCATCTATCAGCAGGGTGAGTTAACTGAATCTCAGTGTGCTTTTAAAGACTCTTCTTGCATGTCTCCCCTTGTCTTTACAGTTCAGTTTGCAAAGGTCTACAGACCAAGGACAGTAACTTCTGTACCAAAGCCTCAAGATAGCAGCCAGCTCAGACACATTCATCTCAGGTCCTCTCAAAGAGGACCTAGTCACCAAAGGTACCAGAGAACCTTAATTAACGTCTCTCTCCTGCATGCAACCCCATCAGTCTTCTGGAATGCTTAGGCCAGGGTCACATGAAAACGCCATCGCTTTTCTTCTGGACTCCCTGCTTCATTGCACCAGTCATCTAGCTAGAGGAAAGCACACACAGTGGTACTGAGATGGTTCTTGTGGGGATAAAGGGAGGGAGGCGTTCTTCCTGTCCTTGTATGTAAGGATCAATCACACTGACAGGGCTTCTCCAGAGGGTTGATCTCTGTGGGCTCTTGTCAGTTTCCCCATCAACATCCCCAAAAAACTAACACAGGAGACCAGGACATTGAAGCCAGCAATTTCTGTTTGGAAATAGGGTCGTCTTGTGCCGCTGACCCCCATCAAATCCCATCATGCCCACAGCCCTGTGCCCCCGAGTCTTGGCTCCGAAGGAAAGTGAGGAGCCCAGGAAAATGAGGAGCCCACCTGGAGAGAAACCTAGCCCCCAAGGAGAACTCCCCAGCCCAGAGTCCTCCCATTGTCTCTTCCTCCGCTTCCGCTACCAGGAGGCAGCAGGTCCACGGGAGGCCCTGCTCCGCCTTTGGGATCTGTGCCGGGGCTGGCTGCGGCCTGAGAGGCACACCAAGGAGCAGATCCTGGAACTTCTGGTGCTGGAGCAGTTCCTGGCCATCCTGCCCCGGGAGATCCAGAGCTGGGTGCGGGCTCAGGAACCTGAGAATGGCGAGCAAGCTGTGGCTGCAGTGGAGACACTGGAGCGGGAGCCAGGGAGACCCTGGCAATGGGTGAGCTACGGAGCTGCCTAGGCTGGGAGGTGGGGCAGACAGTGAGACTGGGAGTAAGCATGCTGATGGGATTAACTATTTCCTAACCAAAGTTATGGAATTCTTTGTACAACTGCTGTGGTTTTGGAATTTTATCTATAACCACTGTGTACCTCAGTTAGGCCCAGACTCAACATCAGTGTCCTAAGAAAGCAGGCCTTGATGTACCTAGTTATGTCTCATCCCTTTACAGCCCTATCCATAACCTGGGCTAAGCCCTTGGTGGTCAGCTATGGGATTGATGGTCAACAGGCTTAAGGGAGGGAGGGAGTTGCCCTGCCCTTTGTAGAATAGGGCCAGCCCCTGGCCAGGGACCTCTCCACCTGAAAAAAGCCCTCTCTGGGATTATAGCTCAAGCACAGTGAAGATCCTGTGGTGATTGATGATGGAGATGGCCATCCGGACCAGGAACAGGAACGATTGCCCACAGAACCCCAGGGTGACCTTGCAAAGAGCCAGGATGCCCAGCCCATAGCCCTGGTGGAAAGCACCGGGCTCCCAAGCCGATCACCAGGGCAGCTCAGCGGGGATCCAGGTACGGAGCCCAGGGGGCTGTGGTATGGAATGGGCTGAGGGCGTCCTGTGCTCGTTGGTGTTTTCTGAATGATGTTGTATAGGTGATTGTTTGGATCCCTGCTTTTTTCCAGTCCCTGGGGAATTTGAACTATTATCAAACTCCTTACCCTGGAGCAAGTGAATCAGAATCTCAGGGTATTTTGGTTATACTTGATCTCCTCCTGGAAACACTTCTGTAAGCAGGCATTGCTGAGGATGCAACAACCCTACCTCTGCATTGTTGGTTTGGTGGTAACCCAGGTACAGGGCTGCAAGGTCAAGGAAATGGCTATATGTCTCTCTGAGGCTCAGTTTCCCTAACTCTGCAAGTCCTGCTCATTACCCATTTGGGTAAGGTAAGGAAACAAATATACGCATAAAATGCTTCAGAGGGCATTTGGTGGTGTCCTCAAGTGTAAGGTGTGGCACTGTGGGCTAATGCGTCGGACTGCAAGCCATTTGAACTACAAGGTCGGTGGTTCAAGCTCACGAGCTGCTCCTTAGAAACCCTATATAGGGTCGCTATGGGTCGGAATCGACTCAATGGCACTTAACAACAAACCAGTGTAAGGGGCATGAGTGCCTGCTTGGGTGTGGTTTGAAAACTGTGCACTGTTAGTAACAAGTAGGTACCAAATAACCTTGGCTTTGCGACCCTGGGCTTGTTTCTATACTTTCTATGTTTCAGTCCCTTCATCTATCAAATGCAGATAATAGTCATCTTTATTACTTGGAGGATTAAGTGTGATTAAAACAAGTGAAGTGTTTAGTACAGTGCCTGAGACATAGGTATGTTTCCCCATACCCTACATACTTTAAATTGGTAACATCATGGGTCATGGGGAGTTCTTCCTGGGTCAAAGGAAGACTGTGACATTGAATTTGTTTGAATGGGTTTCTATATTGCGCTGTGGTTCTAAATTGGGGAAAAGTCTGTAGTCACAAGTACATTTCCTATGACTCGCAGAAATTGTCAGTGGCATTATATTGAACTTTTCATTAAAAAAGTGCTTGTTTAATTTCTCTGTGTGACACTATACTAACCTCTGTACAAATCAGATGAACTTTTCAACCTCTTGCTTATTAAAAGTCAAGATAATCATTAGGGAAACAGCCCCTCACACAAGAAAGCAAAGCATACGTGGAGCAGTATGGTTTACGTAGGACATACAGGGCTCTGAGAGGCCCTGCCACGAAGTCAGGGAACGCCCTGGAGTGGGCTGCAGTTGTAGGAACCACAGAAGCCTCTTTTTGTTGTTGTTAAGTGTGGTTCAGTCGGTTCTGACCCATAGTGACCCTGTGTAGAACTGAGGAGTGGCTGGTCGGTTTGAACCACCAAACTTGCAGTTCAAACTGACCTTGTGGTCGAGTGCATTATCCTGCAGCTCCACACCAGCCCCTTGGTGGTATCTTAAAACAAGCCAGCTACCACAAATAGATTTTAGGGGCAAAATATAAGCAATTTCATTTCCGTAAGCAATAGTAAATAGACGAAAGTAGACATGACAAGAATCAGATCTAGGAAAGAACTTAAACATTAGGATGGTTTGCTAATTAGATTGAGCCATCAGTAAAAATTGTAGAGTTTCTAATCTTGAAACATTTTCCCAAAAAACTAGCAGATAGCCAACATTCTTAAATGATTTTATTTATGGCCCGGCAGAAGTAAGGTGGGACTGGGGTTCATCCCTCAGAAAATGGTGAGGTATCCAGCCACATAATCAGAGCTGTCCTCCCTAGACAGAGCTTCCAGCAGCAGAGTGAAGACATTGCCTCCCACAACCCCACCAGGCACTTCACTGCCAGCTGTGTCAGCTCCTGGGCTCAGCCCCTTGCTCCAAATAGCTACTCAAACACCTGTTATTTCCTTAGAGCTATGCGCCTGGTACAGAAAGGTCAGGGACGTTGGCTTCTCTCAGTTTTGGCATTGATTTAGCATGTGGCCTTGAAACTTTTTTTTAAGCTGATATTATAGTGCAACTTTCCAACTTTTATTCTGTGAAAGGAGTACCTTTTGAAATGCAAGTCTTATTCACATGGCTGCATTGTAAGTTTCTTGTTTGCTTGCTGTCTAAGCATGATGTTGTCAATGAAGGGAGAGAAATATTAGAACATGCCCTTAAGAGTATAAAATTTTGTGTGATGGTAATTAGGATGCTGAACCAAATCATCTTCCAGAAACACCTAATAATGACAAGTCTTTTTATGGAGATTTGCCATACATAACCTTTTTCTTGTCTCCCTCTGGCATCTCACACCTCACTTGCGACAACTCTCATCAACACCCATACACCATAGACTCTTTTTTTTTGCTATCCATAAGAAATTTACTTGTTTTTAGAAGAAATCCAAATGCTGGCATTGTCCAGAAAATGTTAACGGGTTTATTTATAATTGCTATAAAGCTGAACTGCTGAAACTTATTCACTGACACATTTTGACTTGCATTAATAATGCTTTATGTCCCTGAATTTATATTTAAAATGCACACAAATGAAAAAACTGCCAATACCTGATTTTTTTTAAAGAATGAAATATTTCCCATTATAGTGGATTGTCAAGCACATTCTCCACATGTGCAATGTGCCAGCTGTATGTTTTTTGGCATAATTGTCACACGTTTGGCATGGATAGCACACAGGTTGATGTCTTCAAAAAGGCCAAGCAGACAGGCTTCACTTGCCTCCTGCAGAGTACCAATTGCTGCACTCTGGAAGCTCAGGTCAGTTTTACAGTCCTGGGCAATTTCTCGCACTGGACAGTCTGCTGATAACATCTGAGTTCAGGAAGCGTCACAGTACCAGGCCTGTACCGAGGTTTCTTCACCCCTCCAGTAGAGGGTATACTCTTAACGAGCAGCTTTCGTAGCCGGTTGCTTCCTGGGTGAACTTTCCCACTGGTTGATTTGCTTTTTGCTCTTTATGAGCCATAGTATAGAGACCTCCTCACTTACCTCCCTCTTTCAGCTGGAGCTTGGCAAGCTAGAGGCTGCACAGTAGCGGCTATGAAGACAATTTGACACCATAGACTTTGGAACTTCATAGCCTTCATATTGCAGATGATGACACAGGTCCCTGGACCTGCAGACAGTCTTATAGCTAATTACTGGCTGAACCCATTTGACCTGGGTATTCTGTTTTAAAGTACCACTGCCGGTGCAAACAGTTAAACATTCAACTACCAACTAAAAGGTTGCAGTTGGAACCACCCAGCGGTACTTCAGAAGACAGGCCTGGTAATCTGCTTTTTGAAAGTTCACATCTACTCAGCACACATAGGGATCACCGTGAGTTGGAATTGATGAAACTTAACATGTGGCAGTGTGGGTTAATTCGCTGGACTGCAAAGTTAGATTGAATTGTAAGTTTGGCAGTTCAAGCACACCGGTCACTCTTAGGAAACCCTATACAGGATTGCTATGGGTCGAGACCTATCCTATGGCCCTTAACAGCAACAGCAGCAATAGAGTCTTGGGGTGGCACTGTCAGATAAAGAATTTGACTCCAAGGCTAGCAGTTCAAACTCACCAGTCACTTCTTGTAAATCCTATACAGGGTCGCTATGAGTCAGAACCAACTCGACAGCACATAACGAAAACAATAATAAATGAGTACTGGTGTGGTGCTGTAGGATAAGCATGCACTACTAACCACAAAGTCAGCAGTTCAAATCCACCAGCCACTCCTTGGAAACCCTATACAGGGTTGCTATGAGTTGTAACTGATTTGACAGCACTTAACAACAACAACAAGGAGCTCTGGTAGCATAGTAGTTACGAATCGGGCTGCGAACCTTAACATCAGCAGTTTGAAACTACCAGCCGCTCCGCAGGAGAAACATGAGGCTTTAAAAGCCCACATTGCTTTATCTTTTTCAGTCTTGCATATCTCCTTGTGATTATGAAACGCTTTTCATATGCCTTAATCTTGCAAACCTCATTTTACAGGTGAGAAAAGACCTAGGATTTTTGTGAAAAGTTCCGTGAAGTGACAGCCTGTTGACTCTTGTGACTTTCTTTACCCAGCCAAACTGAAACGCAGAGGACCCTAAGAGAGGTGCCAGGACAAGACCTGGCCCCTTTGGAACACCCTTTTTCCATCTCTTTCAGTTTCACAAGACCCTTCCCTTGTTCTGGAAGAAAGCTTGAGGAACACACAGCAGGTGACCGCCTTCCAGCTGCCTCAAGTGAGTACATTCTTGAAAACCCCATGTTTGTCTTTCCTTAAACTTTACAGCTCCCTCCAGAGCAGCTTTCCCAGGACCCCAACCAGCTTACTATGTGTCATACAGGCGGTCTAGCTCCAAGCCAGAAAAATGGAAAAATGTGAGTCTATGAGATATCCCTATTCTTCCTTGCTGTCCAATCTCAGCTTCTCACTAATGAGGCCTCTTTTTGGCTTTGTGCAGTCGTTGCAGAAAACAACTGTCTGTCTGTGTCCTGGTTTTGCAGCGCAGATATCCCAGTGGCTGGCCCTTGCTACATCCAGGGGTCGCCTCCTGTGAAAAAGGGAGGCCTTCTCACTTTTGTACTTCACAAGGTGTTTTTAACATAGTAATCCCAGTTTTAGGGGTCCTGTTGGTACTATAGGATAAGCACTGAACTGCTAACTACAAGGTCTGTAGTTTAAATCCACCAGCCACTCCACAAGAGAAAGAAGCTTTCTGCTCCCATAAAAAGTTACAGCTTCAAAACCTTATATAGGATTTGAGTTGCTATGAATCAATTGATTTGATGGCAGTGAATTTGAAATTTTTATAATCTTAGTTTTGGCTAGTTCAGAAATGTTAGGAAACAGGGAAAACAAAACAGATCATTTCATTATTACACATCCACAAGTGGGAATTTGAGAATATCCTTGGCATTTTTCCTGTTTGTCTTTTTTGCACAAGGCCCAACCAGGTGTTCTGGTAAGGATGGTGAGCTACTGTATTCTCACTCACCTGTATCTAGGTGCTGCCGTAGACTATACTTTCCCACTGTATCCTCCATTATTCTAACACTATCCACTACCTGCCATGACAGTGGCATGGACTCTTATTAATTATTGTAGCTCAGTAGACATAAGACTGCCTGAAGCATAGGAGACATTGTGCAAATGTGGCTCAGAGGAAGGAATGTAGGCAAAAAGAAAAACAGTTTGCTCTCAGCCTAGTGCATTCAACATGACTTTAAACTTGAGGGAAATGGGTAGGACTAGACATGGGAGGATTACCGGTGTTGTGCTTTAGGATAAGCACTGAACTGGGAACCACTTTTTTGTTTTTTTTTAATGTTTTATTGTGAATTATGTGATAGTTTACATGGGAGAACATTAGTTTTACATTCATTCTTTCGTATATCGCTTCATTGCCATGGTTACACTACCCTCCATGCATCATCAACCAACCAAAGGGTATACCTTGCAAGCCTGCCCAACCCCAGTCATCAACACACAGCCCCTCTCCCTCTCTGGATCTCAAGTCCTCAGCTGCTCCATCTCTCCACATCATTCTCTCTGCCTCCATCTCATGCATCACTGCTTCTCTGGGTAGGGTCCCGCTCTCCGCTCTTCTCCATTGATGGTCCTAGGGACCTCCGCTCCATCAGCCCCGCCTAGACAGATTGGATACTACTCACTGGAGATTCTACTTTCTTCCATGCCCTCTGGATCTAGGTTCCCTCTTGAAAGCTTGTAAGCGAGTCACTTCTTGCCTTTGTAGCCCTCTCCCCCCCCCCCCCCCCCCCCCCCCCATTTTGGGTAGCCAATGTCCAAGTTGCCCATCACTGTCTACTATGTGTGGAAGAGGTGGAAATGATTCTTGCAGTAAGGATTTGTTTCCTCTTTTGAGCTACTGTATCCATAGGTGTAGGTCAAGTTCATCAAATAGTATCAGATTACGCTTTTTTTCCGCTTTCTTCTTCTTCTGGTTGAGCTCTGATCATCCCATCTTTGAAGCCAGGTCAAGTGGGTATTATTTGCAAGTGTGGGTGTTCTTGCACGTATGCCCTCTCTTCTTATCAGCTGGACACTTCACTCTCCACTCCAGTCCTCTGTGGCTGTGTCACTGACTCTCGGACCAAGATTCACAAGCAGTTGTAAAAAGGATCCAAAGAGATCCTTTGTACTATTTACAGTTTCCCCCATTATTAACATCTTATAAAACTAATACAATGTCACAACCTGAATTTTGACAATGATAGTCAAGATACAGAACATTTTTATTTCACCAGAATGTCTCTCTTGTCCTTTCCTACCCACACCCACTCCGTCCCTTATCTCTAGCAACCAGTAATCTTTATTCTCCATCCCTATAATGTTACCATTTGAGGAATATTAGATAAATGGATCTGTTCTGTATATAACCTTTGGGGATTAGCTTTTTTCACTCAGCATAATTCTGTGGCGATTCTTCTGTATTGCAGCATATATTAATAGTTTGTTCCTTTTTATAGTTTAGTTGTGTTTTATGATATGAATGTACTGGTTTATTTAACCATTCACCCATTGAAGGGCATCTGGCTGGTTTCCAAAAATCATTTCTGTAAAGGTTTTCATGGGAACATATGTCTTCCTTTCAGTGAACTTAAAGCACAGGTGTGCAATTATTGTGTTGAATGAGAAACACATAGTTTTGTAAGAAACTGTTGGGTCGTTTTCCTGAGGGGCTGTGCCATTGTACATTCCCACCAGCAATGTATGAATGGTTCTCAATCTCGGCAACCCCCACAGCATTTGGTGTTTTCACTATTTAAGTTAGCCATTTTAATAGGCAAGCAGTAATACCTTGTTGTGGTTTAAATTAGCATTTACCTGATGGCTAATGATGTTGAACATCTTTGTGTGGGCTCATTTGCCATCTGTGTATCCTCTTTGATGAAATGTTTCTATATGTCTTTTGTCCGAGTTCCAATTACATATTCTAGATACTTGTCCTATGTTAGATAAGTGATTTGCAAATATTTTCTCCCAGTCTCTAGCTTGTCCTTTCATCCCCTTAGGGGTCTCCAACAGAGCAAAAGTTTTAAATTTAGACTAAGTCCAGTTTAATAACTTTTCCTTTTAAGGATCATGCCTGTGGTATCAAGAAATCTTGGGCTTGATTTAGTCCAGAAACTTTTTTTTTCCTAAAATTTTTATAGTTTATGTTAAGGTCTCTGGCTCATTTAAAGTTAATTTTTGTATACAGTATGAAACTTGGGTCCCTGTTCTTTTAGGTTTTGCCTACTGATGTCCAGTTGCTCTAGCACCATTTGTTGAAAAGGCGATCTATTAAATTGTTTTTGTACCTTTGTCAAAATCAGTTGGCAGTATTTATGTGAAGTCTGTATAATACCATTCAGTCTTGACTACTGTAACTGTATGGGTGATACTAAAACTCAAGTGCTATTTCTTCTGAATGAGTAGACTAATTCCTCCCATGTTACTCTTTTTCAAAACTATTTTAGCGATTGTAGTCCTTTTACTTACAAATTCTAAAAGTCAGAAAATTTCAAAGGTCAACTGGACAAAGTCAAACATTAAAACAAAATGTGAAAAGACTTGGAGTTGGAAAACCAAAATGGAAGAACACTCAGCATTTTTCAAACTAAGGGAATTGAAGAAAAAATTCAAGCCTCAACTTGTAATACTGAAAGATTGATTCTATGTGCAAAATATTGAATGATGTTGTTGTTAAGTGCCATCGAGTTGGTTCCAACCCATAGCAACCCTGTATAGGGTTTCCAAGGAGCAGCTGGTGAGCTTAAACCTCCGACCTTGCGTTTCAAATGGCTTTGCAGTCTGGCACATTAACCCACAGCACCATACCATTGTGTGATGTAGAAGACATCAAAAGAAGATGGAAGAAATACACAGTCACTGTCCCAAAAAGAAATGGTTGATGGTCAACCATTCTAAGAGCCAATGATCCTGAAGGAAGAAGTCCAAGGTGCATTGAAAGTGTTGACAGAAAGCACCTGGAATTGATGAAATACAAATTTGTAATCTTTCAACAAACTGGTGCAGCACTGAAAGCGCTCAACTCATCTGTACCAAGGAATTTGGAAGACAACTACTTGGCCAGCTGACTGGAAGAGATCCATGCTGTGCACATTCCAAAGCGAGGTGAACCAACAAAATGCAGAAATCACTGGACAGTATTATTAATACCGCATGCAAGTAAAATTTTACTAATGATAATGCAAAAATGAATGTAACCATATATTGACAGAGAATTTTCCAGAAGCTCAAGCTGGATTCAGAAGAGGACGTGGAATGAGGGATATCATTGCTGATGTTAGATGGATCTTGCCTGACGGCAGAGAATTCCAGAAAGATGTTTACCTGTGTTTTATTGACTATGCAAAGGCTTTCGAGTGTGTGGATCATGACAAGCTATGGACAACATTGCAGAGATTGAGTATTCCAGAACACTTAATTGTGTTCATTAGGAACCCGTACATAGATCAAGAGGCAGTTGTTTGAATATAACAAGGGACACCAAATTGTTTAAAATTAGGAAAAGTGTGTGCCAACATTTTATTTCACTATACTTACTCAGCTGTGGGCTAATGTGTCAGACTGCAAGGTTTGAACTGCAAGGTCAGTGGGTCAAGCTCACCAGCTTCTCCTTGGAAACTCTATACAGGGTCACTATGGGTCAGAATCAACTCGATGGCACTTAATAACAACACTCAATTTTTATACTGAGCAAATAATCCAAAAAACTGGATTATATGAAGAAAAATGTATCAGGATTGGAGGAAGAATCATTAACAACCTGTGATGTGCAGATAATATAAATCTGCTTGTTGAAAGCGAACAGTACTTAAAATACTTACTGATGAAGATCAAAGACCACAGGCTTTGGTTTGGGTTGCACCTCATCATAAAGAAAACAAAAATCCTCACCATTGGACCAATAAACAACATCGATACAAATGGAGAAAAAATTGAAGTTATCAAAGACTTCATTTTGCTCAGATCAGTCATCAACACTCATAGAAACAGTAGTCAAGAAATCAAATGACTATTGCATTAGGCAGATCTGCTGCACAAGACCTTTTTAAAGTGTTGAAGAGCAAAGATGTCAGTTTGAGGATTAAGGTGCGCCTGACCCAACCCATGATATTTTCAGTAACCTCATATGCATGTGAAAGTTTGACAGTGAATAACAAGTCCGTAGAACTGATACATTTGAGTTATGGTGTTTGTGGTGAATATTAG